CATAGTACCCAACTACACTTGTTTCCACGTTTCATCACCGATTTCTTGATGGAAGCGAGAGCATCTAATTTAGATTTTAGATCATTTTGCCGAATAACAAACAATCAACTGTTTTTGTAAGCCGTAAAAGCAACCTTATATAATTCGTTTCACGCTTCCGAAGAATCTACAGTAGTTTTGTTGACTTTTTTTTCTTATGCTATAACTTTGTATTTCTCTACTTAATGGCAGTTCTATTTTATTGCTAGCCATCTTTTTTTTTCAACAAAAAGAGACCCTAGAAAAGTAGAATTCTATGAAATCGTCCATCGTCAGAGCAGTTTTACAAAAAATGATCCTAAAAATTTTGAAGGAACAAGTTATATCCATATCCAGTTATTATTATATCCACTAATATCCCACCCGGATGCGAGGACGCACCTTAGGTGCGTAACCATGAGAACAAGGAGTGAAACCATCAGCGATCTCATCATTTCATTGTAAAGCTTTAGGAAAAATTGAAGTCATTCCGCTTTGATTTATAGCTGACTTTTCGAAAAAATTGTACGACCTATGGTAAAAAAATTCATAAAGAAATGTATCGTGTCTCATTTTTCCTTACAAATTTTTTAACGGGAATTTTTCAACCAATTTCTTCCCCCGGTTATAAGAAATTCTATTATTCTAAAATACAGCAATTCATCAACGACTGCGGTATGAAGAACACCAGTTAAGAAGCTCAGTGGCATCATTACAACCTGCTATCACTAAAATTTTTTCTACTTATAAGTATGCGACGAAATAATTATTTAAACATAAAGTAATAACAATAACAAGTAACCGAGCTAGAAACAATCACCAGAATTTCATAATGTACTCCGACTCTGTGTTCACAGTTATATGCAACAGCGAGCTTACTTTATCATTTCCACAAAACAGGATGAGATGCATAGTCCAGGATAATCCGTTCTAGACGCGCAGTATAGATGATGCTCAATGTTTTGCACTAGAGACAAGATCTTATACATGTTAACCAATGTGCTGCAGTTGTACCAGTAAAACTAAAAACTGGGAGAAAACCAATTCAACGGAAAAAATCCAACCGACATCCGTACAACGTGGAAATCCTAGCTAAATAGTGTGAATCGAATAAGTTAACTGTACATATCGACGAATTAGTACTTCCTCATTACAGACAGTGCTAAGGACAACGTCACATCTCGAAACCTAGGATCACTACTGGTCGAGATTTCCACGTCGTATTCTTAATTTTTATTCGAAAACAATTGACGTGGATGCATAATTCTTAGAGATTATGTGCATCATTTCTCCCAACGGCTTACCACCTTATCACGGCTGGAAGATGTTCATGGCTTTGTGGGCTGCGATATTTAGCGGTGAGATTCATACCACCGGCAGGGTGGCCCAAGCTGAGGAGTTCGGCGTTTCCATCAGGAAACCTAGCTAAGAGTGAACCAATACCAGAACCTGTCACCCTCTGATCCACAAGGACAGAGACTTCCGGTGGTGGTGATGGCCTGGAGCAGGCTGGCCGGCTGACCTCGGGATTCCAGGGAACCACAATGGCTTAGGCATTAAATCTCCGAAAAATGGAGAATATGCTAGGACCCGCACAACCTTTGACGACGGGCCATTCAAGTATCAAGAAAGTATGTGCATCATTACACGCACGGTAGCTGGTTCAGCTAGGCGAAAGCAAGGTTTTCTCAAGATGACAGGAAGAATCTATCCAATCAGCATTCAACGACATTCGGAATGAAGGAGAAACCCTCGAGCAGCAACCAGATCCATGAGCGAAACGCAAAAGTCTTCCTAGGCGACGAAAAACACTCGAAAACGAGTGAAAGGAACGCACAGATAGAGAAAGTATACGAAGGCATGTCGTATAAATGAGTAATATCTAGAAGAGTAACTTTAGCAAAAGCTCGAAATAGGAATTGTAATTCCAAACGTCATGGTCTTCATTTCGTGGACATTTTTGGTGGCTTATAAATAAATGTTTCCACCAACGGAATGAAACCTCTTTAAGTGCAAAAAAAGGTAATTAAATAACATCCAAGGCCTTAGCATCTCGGAGGGATTCTGACGGAACTTCCACACTCCATTTCTCGTTTACGCATTATGCACAAGCATTACTTATTTCCACTGGATCGAACATCACTACAGGTTTCCTTGTTGTGGTGGACTAGTAACTTTCAGATAGAATGGCAGAAAACAAATCTATGTACGACACTAACTCACAATGTCTTTCGTAACTCTCTCCACCCGCTAGTAGACACAATTTAGAAATTACTGCTTTCAGGGAAACAAAAACTTCGTTCCCAGTCTTATTTCGCGGATCGGTGAATGTCTCTTCAAGTGAGAACTGCTACACATACTTCTTTACGCAGTCACAAATTCCCATATATTACTTCCACTATGCCAAAATGTACTTACTCTACTAATTTCCTGGCAAGAAAAAAAACCATATGAGCCCCGCTTCGGGCTCCGAGATGATTACAGGTGGTATCAATGTAACAAGCAATGTGTCGAAAACTATCAAAGCCTCTCCAGTTCATGGACTGTTTTGTGCATACGTTCTAAAACCGATCAACATGTAGCTCTCCAATGTCTGTTCACTAAGTGGATATCATCTTATTTGCAATATAATCACGACGCGGCTTCACCTTAACTTTCTTGCATGTGCGGCTTTGCATTTTCTAATATACACAACAACACAAAGAAGAACATTCATTAAGACCAAAGATAATAACGTTTCGCTTCCGTATATTAACAATATACTCGAACAATCAAAAAACAGTAGATTTCTCTACAAAGATATAGTGTACCATAAAACTGACTGCACGAGAAATTTTAGGAAGTCTTAAAGGACGTCTACAACATCCTATACATCATATAACAAAAATATTTAAAAAAAAGGCCAGTATGGATTCGAAGAAGGGTTAAAAACAACTAGGACGGGACGAAATAGTTTTTTAAACAACAATGCGATCAAACTTCACGTTCAAACTCGATCTTATTTGTTCTTAAAACGGATACGAATGTAAACGAGTCGTGTCCTCAGAAACTTAACCGTTGTTCGCAGAAGACAACTCTAGAAGATGGTTTTGAAGGAACCTCCCCTTTATAAAGTACTTCTTAAGAAGGGAAAAAAAAGCAAATGACGCAACCATGAACGTCATTATTAAAGAAACACCGCAAGAAAACATTATCTAGAAATTGGGGCTAGCTGGAAATCAAGAAACTATTTGTCATCAGCTTCCCACTCAAGCGTGATATAGGTGTAAGAACGCCCAAACATGGAAAAAATGTTAGTGGATATTATAGTTAGGTAAAAAAAAAAAAACTAAAATTGTGTTAAATAGATGTGAAACACGACTAATGCCAAAAAAGAATTTTGAAAATTGAGCTAAGGAGGTTATGAGCATAATACTCAAATTGTTGCTAAAACCACCAAGAAAAATAGTGAAGCATACGAGTTAGCATCAATACCACTTCACAGAATTGTCGAGCCGAGTAATAATGTTAACGTGGTACGAAAACTATACAATTAAAACGATCGCTTTTTTTTGTGGACTTTTCCACTTTGACGTCAATTTTTTTAAACTTCTAGGATACATTGATGGTGCGCAAAGTAAACATTGTTCCCATGAAAGAGTCACGAAGATAGTTCAGTCGTCCCAACGAACACAATTCTTCTTTGCAGCTAAAAATAAACAAACCTGATGACTTGGAAAGGAAAAAAAAACACGGAAATGTAAAATAGATTTAAAAACCTGCATAACTTAGATCGTAACAAACTATTCAAGTTTCAAAGGACAAACGAACCTGCCGTGATGAAAAGATGTAGCCACCAACAAAATAATCTTAGAACTACTGCGTGCTCCATATGTTAGTGAAAACGTGTAACTTTAAATCTTTAAACGAAAGACTGTAGACATTTACAAAACACTACTACGAGATCCTTGGTTCCTAGTTGTATCAACATTTTCGAAGAGTAGCAGTGTTGCAGAAAACAAGTTTATAGAGCTACACCAATTATAGTAGGAAGAACTACAAAATCTGAAGGAGACACATTTCATAGCAAAGACATTTCATTGAGAACAACACAAAATATATGTAGTTCTCTGCTCATCAAGGACTCATGTTAGTTATGTTGGCATAACAACAAATACTTTGATACATAGACGCCCCGCCCTCACTGATTGTGTGGGTCCCAGAACAATCTCCATTTTCGGCGTTTTGCTGCCTTGGTCATTGTGATCTCCTAGAGTCCCGAGGTCAGCAGGCCAGTCCGCTCCACGTTGTCACCACCACAACCAGCCACCGTCCTTGTGGATCAAAGGGTGATAGAGCCTTGTATTGGTTTACGCTTAGTCTAGCTTCCTGATAGAAACGGCGGACTCTTAGCTTGGGAGACTCCGCCGGGGATGAATCTCCCCGATGTACAGCGCATCCCAACACCCAGGAACACCTCCCAGCCACAATGAGGCAGCAAACTGTTGGGAGGACAAATATTAATTAGAAAAAAAAACAACCTATTACAACTACGCACTACTACGGCGTGCAGTTCAACCTCCTATGACCAAACAAGCACTTACTGGGTAAGCAACAAAATTTGCCAACGTAATGTTAACTTTTCACTTGAACCCAGTGAAAATGAGGGTGTAGTCGAAATCAGAATGTCAGCATTCTTATTTACTGCCAATTACTATTCTTCATGTAATGGTATTATACGGAACAGAACCATTATGTTGCTGGCACATTTGCAAAGTTTCGGACCTCAGGTGTTTGCGGTGGGAACGAATCGCGTTATTATCCTTTCATGGGCTAACGCGTTCACCACGACACAATACGGGACACTCGTTTCGCCTTTCTCTCGGCTAGTTTTCTATAGCTTTTAGCCCTATAGTTTTTATGCTACCATATTTCCAAGGAATTCAACAGCATGATTTTAATTATTAGTTTTAATTGCTACTTTGATGCTTTCTCGCTTGTAGTCAAGAACAAAAACATATGTGGAAGCTTGTTTGCATACCTTTGGCATTAGCTAACTGCTTGTTTTCGACCTCCCGCCGCTCCATGCTAACCGAGGAACGCATTCCTAAGGTACTTTCCACCATTCGGCGAGCGATACCAACATTGGTCTTAGGACGACACGATCTGATAAACATACAGTCGAACATGAAATGAAAAACACAGAAAATGTCAACGTGCAGTCGAAGGTGTAAATCGCCCACCTCGTTGGTCTCAGCTGCACCTGAATTGCTAGGGCTTTTTCTTGAACACGTACTGGAGATTTTGACAGCGGTCGTAATCGCAACCACTGGTGTTTGTGGAATACCAAAGCATCACGCGCTAAAGGTACTTCTCGATAACAGTTGAACGAAAAAGTAAGAAAACATCGAGATTATACACTACCTTGGCGCTCACTCTCAAACACAACGAACACCATTTTACGTTCCAGCCACTTTACCGTCGCACTACCAAAATCTGTAGTTGCTAGTGCGTTAGCGACGTCGTCAGCAAGCACGTATTCCGGCACGTCATATGCTTCGAGAACATGGGGCAAAACTGCAAAAAAAGAAGATAACACGATATGGAAGTAGTCCCACTTGAACCAAAAATATCTTTACTGCAATACCAATCTATTATAACTCACGATGTGGTTCCCACGATGACTGCGTTGTAACAGGCAAAGAGGAATTATTCAAGGGACGTCTTGAAGCTGCTGCACGCTTTAGTGCATTCATCTGAACACCAAATAGCTATAGTTAATCCGTTAAGGTAACTTTAAACATCCGGTACCTGCTCTTCGAGTTTCGTATCATCAAGATTTTCCCAAGAATCGTCCTCCTCATCGTCTACAACAACAAGACTTTCATTCTGCGAAGCGTCTTCCTCACATATAGCTTGGTCCATGCTAGTCTTTGGAGGTCGAGCAGGTAAGCAAGAAGGCTCAACGGATCCAACTAAGAATGCTGTTCTGTCAGCATCAGAACGTCTATAGTCTTTCGCAAGATTTTCTACAGCATCGCAGCTAGTTGCGTTGTTCACGAACAAACGGCGTACTACCTTATTCTCTTTAGGCCTCAATATAGCACTCGAATGCACCTGAAATATACATAACCTTATTCAGTACTACTCCAATTATTATCATCATCTGATATTTAACAGCGAAAAATGACCGAGAATTCACAACTACGTTTTCCCTTTACCAATTATGGAAATTATCAACTTTGGAAAAACTTTCGAAAACATCAAAAGCGTTGTGTCCTAACCGTCGGTTCAGATTCTGGTGTAAGAGGTGTAATAGCCATTCCAGAAAATAAGCTTTCAATGACTCCTCTCGCTAATGCTTCAGTTTCGTCTTCACAACGAGACGATTCCAGAGATACACGATCAGACATTGGCGCTGCTTCTTAAAAAAGCAATTCTCAGAAGAGCAAATAACACAACGAACAGAAATTGTTATATCGACAAAACAACCAATGAACCTTTGTTACTTACTCCTATCAACGAAGCTGCTACTACTTTCGAGCAAGTTCCCACTACCAAGTCCTGAACTGTCAGCTCGCAAACCTGGAAAAGATGACCGCTGAAGATAATCTCCATATACAGATGCTTATCTTAACAAAATGCACTATTTCAAACAAATAGAGCAATTCACTAGCCGAGGATTTTCTACACTAACAGTCGGATTTTGGAAATTTTCAAAACAAATTGGAACCACAGCATCACGAAAATCAATCACTGCTGGAACTCAAAAAGTCAGAAGTGCAAAGAGAAGATTACATTTCTAGTTAATTCATTGGAGCAGTACAGTCTTTATCCAATGGAAAGATAAATCCACGTAACCTACCTTCCCAATGATACCCCATGATATCTAGTTAAAAGTATTGCTAAGAAAACACGCCTAAAGTCGCCACACTTTTACTTATTCCTGACATATCACCCGTTGCTAATTCAAATTACAGCTACGCTTCGTCAACATTCAAAACATGTGTGCAATGAGATGTACCATAAATTAAGCCCATATCAATATTCAAGAACAATTTAGTAATGTGGATATCTCAAGATTTAAACAACTACCAGATGTAAGACTGCGCGACACAAAGAAATTTCTACTGCGGGTTCAGCAATCCAAATAAGGAATTGTAGTTCGCTAACGAATTGAAAACTCAGTTAATATGCTTTTGTAGAATACGATGTAAACAATGTGCTAGAAACCTTCAACTAACAAGGCGACTATGTGTGACGATGAACTGAGATCACCGCAGCTTAGTGAACTAGATAAATCAGGTCATCTAACGGTTTAACCAGTAAGAATGTTCCTACGTGTCTACATCCCATGAAAGCACGTTAAGCAAAAAAAGTACATATCGCTTTATTTAACCACTAGTTACGACGGCTCTCTCGTGACTAACGCTCGGTCTCCGAACCAGGAATTATTCATAGTGTCTTCATACTGGTGAAAGAGCAACATCAGTGATATTTAATGTCACCGCACTTATATCACTGCATGCTGTAAGTTCAACACTACCTAGCAACTGATGAGCCAATGTTTTCCGAATATTTATAACTTACTTGAGCTCCAAAACAATGTAGGCTTCTGCGCCAACGGTTCCGATACTCTTCTTCGACTTGGAGACGTCTTCTGCTCCTCTCTGGTCCGACTCACAATAAGAGCTTTAGACTGCGGATTTATTACTGAAACAGTTTAGTTAACAGTTTTGTAGAGACAGGTAACAACCCTACTGGCTTACAAGATTCAAAATTCTCGCTGATGTTCAAAAACGATGCAGGGGTAAGCGGGCAACAGTCGTAATGTGTGCTGACCAACATTTCATGAGACCTTAGTTTTTTCGCGTAAGGTAAGCGTTCGGGACGTTCTAGTGACGAATGCACGCTCTTATCAATAACCGACCGTTTCGTTACCTGTAAGCAACAAGTTAGAACAAACAGCTCGAACTCTCGTTACAGACATTTCACATCAGGGGATTTATGGTTCAGAATGATTTTAAACAAACAAAACAAACAAATTACATGTCTAAGCAATAAAGGTCTTGTTGATTTTCTACCGATGCATTACAACACATGCAATAATTTCTACAAGTTTTTACTAGTTAAAACCTCGGATGAGTCGAGTTCAGAGCTTCCGTGATAGAATAGGCTTTTTAGGTCACCGCTTTGATACAACTGCGATTGCCTTTGCTGTTCTTCGAAACATTCATTGATGAATTGAACCTGCAACGGAGAATATCGTGCTAAAGTGTAATTTCAAACCAAACGAATAAAACGTGGCTATCTGGGTATGAAGTCAACCAGTTTTTTTTCCAAAATGTGCCACCGGTGCAATTACAACTTCACTTTGCTTTACAACGAAACACAAAACCTCTCAATGAATTCATAAGGTGCTACACCTATCAGTGATGAAATTTTCAGAAAATAGTCAGTGTTAACCTGCTAACGGTTTACCGCCTTACCGTGGCTGGGAAGTGTGCCTGGGTTTCGGGCTGCGATGTACAGCATAGGGATTCATCCCTCGACAATATCCCAATATGAGGAGTCCAGCGCTTCCACCAGGAAGCGCAGCTAAAAGTAAACCAGTACCAGGATCCACCATCGTCCTGTTATCAAAGTAGTCACATAGTGGCAAATCTTCCTCTGATCCACAATGGCGGCGACTGCTTGGGGCAGACAGACTTTGGCTAGGCTAATCTCGGGAACCCAAACAAACAATGGCTAAACCAGTAAAACTCCGAAAAATAGAGACTATGATGGAACTCGCACAACCAGTGAGGACGGGCCGTCCAAGTATCCAAGTAAGTCAGCGTTGAAAAGTGAAGCGGAACGTATACAGAAACAACCGATGGATACCGCTGCTTTATTTTTGTGCGATTTGTTGCTAATTCACCAATTCTACAGGATAATGCAACGAAACCAGTGTTTATATGCTTGTATCACAGAAGAGATAAATGGATTAGATCGACCTAGCGGACGTAGTAGAACATACCATAGAGAACTGCACCATATATTGTCATGTATCACTAATGTCAACGATATCTATGCAAAAGATCGCAACACAGAATTACCTCCAGATCTTCAGGCTCTGCAGGATCAGTAGGTGGCTCGGTTGAAGGACAATTACTTGATAGTGCAGGTGAACTATGTCCTCCAATCAATGGACTTGAATGGTTTCGTTCAAGCCGAATGTGCAACTCCTACAATACGTAAACAATAAAAAGAAGAATAAACAAGTAAATACGTCTATGACGACAAATACGTCCAGCAGACCTTGAGTTCAAAATCGTGACAAGAGCTTGGCAAATTACTCAGGATGCTGCTGTCCTCATCATCAATGAACAAACAATCTTCGTCAGTTTGAGAAGAAACAGTTATATCTGAAATGAGACATCCCTTATCAAACAGATTCCAGCAATGCCCACAACATAGTAACAACGGCATATTGCTGAAGAATCCGAGGAAAACCTAACTGAAGTGTAAGTAAGAAGGATAAAGCTATAAGATAAAGAAAAAATACCAGTTCAACTTCGAAATTATGTTAATGTCTTTAATAATGCTGAGATATTTGCAAAACTCCAAATTGCAGGCGCCTGCGGTGGGGAACGTGCTATCAGCAATCACCCGTTAACTGGATTGATCCGGGAACTCTATCGGGAGATCCAATTATGTTGGGAGATCCAATTATGTTAGTATTCAGTAACCGGCTGTTAGTTTCCGATTCTAGACATCCTAGATGTCTTAGATGGAAACAGACAAAACAACAGCGATAACGAGGACCGTTGAGAATATGAATGATCAAGAAATCATACCATGTGCAGTTCTACTATTGTTGTTACCGCTTGGTGATGGGCTATATATTGGTGGCACACAAGAGTGAAACGGCGCTTGAGAAGCAGCTGTTGTTGCAGCCAACTGCATAGCTTGGTTAAAGAGAGCAGCATCGAACTGACCCGATCCAAACGTGGCCGTACAGGGTAGACTCGGATTACCACTAAACAATCTCGATCCATCCATCACCACACATTGCTTAGGAACACTCGACAATCTGCAAACAGCTTCCTTAGACCGTCAAATTCCACAGCCTCAGCTCCTATAGGCCGTTAAAGACCCCACCAAACATCATCATTGCCATATCATAGTAAGCACGGCTACTAATGATGAACGGCGACTTATTTAAGGTAAAGAAACCTGTACTGAAAAGCAACTGGTCAAGTAACAGAAGGATGCCCAGCAGCGAAAGATAACCGGACGTTTAATTTCTCCTTGGGACAAAATTATAATTTTGTAAACTATTCTTATTAATCCCAACAATCTCAACAACCTATTCAGAATTATACACTTAGTTCAGCATTTTCTTCTCTTCAGTGGTATAACAACAAAGTAGTAATGTAGAAGCAAAGATATATTGGAACTATAACAAGTACTGTACTTGTAATCATAATCAGCTTACAAAGTAAACTGCAAACAGAATATTTAACAAATACATAATAGAAGACTTACCCGGTGATGACGTTTTGTTTGGAAATTGTGTCAAAACCAGCTAGTGTGGACATTATAGTTTCTGAAATAAAAGTGACAACACACGAGAAAACATTTAGCTTTTAGCATAACTAACCCGTAAACCTAAAAATGACGACGCCTAACTCTAGAGTGTCAGGTTACCTGATTGCGTGAAACACACCGTTGCAAGTCATACTAGTTAGCCAAACGGATTCATAAATACTTGAATACTTATACTGCATATCCTCACTGCTTGTACGGGCCCCAGCACAATCTCCAATTTTTGGACTCTTGTGGTTTAGCCATTGTGGTTCCCTAGGACCCCGAGGTCAGTCGGGCCAAAGTCTGCCTTAGGTCGCCACCATCACAGGCAGTCGCCACCACCACGGGCAGCCGCCGTCCTCGTGCATAATAGGGAGGTTAGCCACCACACGAGCAGCTTGATACCCAGTCGGTGACGGATCTTGGCATTGGCTTACTCCTAGCTGGGCTTCCTGATGGAAATATCGGACTCCTCAGCTCGGGAGACCTTGCTAGCGGTATGAATACCCCGCACTGCATCGAAGTCC